CTAGCGGCGCCCGGCGACACGCGATGCCCGTTGCCTAGTTTGAATTATTTCTCTGTTTAATGCTTTCTTTTGCATCTCCTGCAAAACTTTTCCTCCTAGTTTATGTACAGACGAGTTTTAAATTTAACGACCAATATAAAAGTCTATTTACGGAAAAGGATAAGCTACAGAGCACCGAACAGTGTTAGTAGCCACAGCCTCCCTTTGTGCGGTTCCTCTCGAGTAGTTGGCAACGTCGCACTGCCTAGCTGAATGACAGTCGCTGGGAGCTAGATCTAAAACTATGTAGACGCTCCTATATGCATGATTCACTCGCTTTTTCAATTTCACTGCGAATAACTATAGCACATATCCGACACCACCACGACGACCAGAAATCCCTTTAGCCGTCGGGAATCCCTGGCAGGATGCGACAGATGCCTTTTCGAACTGCAGGCCCCTCGACACTCTGGTTCCTTGATCGGCCAAATTGATCTATCTTATCAGCGAGTCATTTATCTTTCACATTGATATCAGCGACCGATTTTTTTCTCATTGTCAACAGGCATAGAATCTCCAGAACAGCACATTTTCATGTTCATTTCCCTTCACCCAAACGTAACTATTCGGTCTCGCTGCCGTTCCCTGCACTGTGCTTTCGAGCGACGTGATCCGCCGCGAGAATCCTGCGACTGAATCACCAATCGCGAATCCCAAATCCTAGGAATGCGAGCTCACGCCCGTGCACTGATAGGCGACTCGTAATCATCCGTCGTCGTCCACGGTGTGCACGTGCTCGCTGTCATCCTCGCCGCCGGTCAGGAGGGACAACACATCAGCATGTCCAGCGAGTGCCACCCGCTGCACGGCGCTGGGCTCCTGTGCCACTGGACCCATCTTCGCGCTTCTTCCACTCTCCGAAACTGCGGCGCTTCTCGACGATGAAACAAATGCCTTCGTAAACAAGCGTGGGACGGTGTCGGATTCTAGCGCAACCGGAATGGGCTTCCGATCCCGTTACTAAACCCGCTCGCAACACTCGGTCCTCTCGGAACAGGACAGGGGAATCCGAACGTGACACGGACGGGAGCACGACTACACCAGACAGCGTGGCACCACCTCAAGAAAAACAGAGTGACCGTTAGTGACCGTGTTGTCCCCCTCAAGCGACGATGGCCACACTTCGCAGATGGCCAATCACAGGCTGAACTGCCCTTGACGTCGCTCGTTCACTGGCCAATGAATCGTCGTAATGAAGGCAGAACGACCGTTTATCATGGTTCACCCTCGTTGAACATCCACACGCGACCTCACTTTGTAAATAAGGCTTATTTGCCTGGGCTCCGTACATCAGCGGAGTAGTTAAGGTCAATTAACGATCCGGGCACGGGTTAAAACTGCAGAATGGAAAGCAAGTCAAACTACCACCACTCTATCACGCTCGTATGAAGCCTATTTCCTCCTCAGAGATGAAAATGAATGGACTACGGTGACTTTCAAGCTGCTCAAGGGAGATGCACACACCCGAGAGAATTCACGACAGGGAATCGAATGTGAATGTAAAGGACTTTGTCTAATTCGCCAGAAGGAGAGTTACTGACATCACAGTATAAATAACGTGACATTTAACAAGCGGAAGTATACGTGACAGCAAGCGCACACAATGATGGGCAAGACGTGTTTCAAACAAGTTTCCCGTCTTGGAGGATGGGGGAAAGCCCTATTTTCCTCCTTCCCTTCGCTTCCTACATACATTCAAGTCGCATTATTCAATTGGCGCAACCGTCACGTGTTCTAGCGTTCCTGTCCCTCCTATTCTTACACAATGCACGCCCTTGAAACAATCCCGGGTAGATCACGCGATCGGCGGCGCGGGGGTGGGCGGCATGAGGGTTGGTACGGTCTATTTTATCTATTTCAAACTTGCCCTCTCAACTCGGGCTGCCTATTTTCGGCCAATTACCTCCTTATCGCATTAAAGAGATGCATTTCGCCCCCATTCGCTCCACCTCCGCGGCGAGGGATGACGGAGCCAAACGACCTACACAATCCAATTATGTATTAGAGAGAACTGACATCATAATTTTTTTTTAAATGGGATATGTCATGGACGCTCACACGAAAAAAGAGAAATAGAAGAGGCTAACAAAGGAAAAAAAGGTGCTCTCTCACACGAAAAAAGAGAAATAGAAGAGGCGAACAAAGGAAAAAAAAGGTGCTCTCTAAAGAAGAGTCTTACAAGACGACCCCAAACGTTTCAAATGCGAGTCACTTGGACGGGGATTTGCTGGGCGTAAAGGGAGAACCAGCGAGCTCCCTCGGATGAAGCAGGACCCTAATTTAGGATGGAAGGATGGCGGGAGGGCGTGGGTAATTGGGTGGGGGGAGGGAAGGAGAAGGAGGGCAGGGGGAGAGAGGAAGAGAAGGGGAGGGGAGGAAGAGAGGGGAGGAGAGGAGGAAGAGGTAGGGGGGGGAGAGGAGGAAGATGAAGGGGGGGAGAAGGAAGAGGAAGGGGGGGGGAGGAGGAGGAGGGAAAGAAGAAGAGAAGAAAAGAGGAGTAGGAGAGGAAAGAGGAGGAGGGGGAAGAGGGAGGGAGGGAAGAGAAGAGGGTGAAGATGAGGGATGGAGAGACGAAGAGAAGAAGGGGAGAAGCAAGCGCAGGGGAGGGGAGGGCGGAGAGAAGAGGGGAAGCGAGACTGAAGTGAATGATGCAACATTTCCTCCAGGACGCCATCTTGAGCCCGCAGTAAACGTTTCTCAGACCCGTCCGCCCCCCCTCCCCCTCCCTCCCTCCCCTCTCTCCTCCCCTCCCCTCCCTCCCTCCCTCCCCTGATCTGAACCCTAAGAACTTACCGCAGGAACGTCTCCAGCCGGGAAGCTCCACGCACGCACAAGCATTTACACGCATACATACGCACACACATACATACACATATGGACATATATAAAGTCACACACACATACATGAATACATACATACACAGATACACTACACACACAGAGAGGGAGAGAGAGAGAGAGAGAGAGGGAGAGAGAGAGAGAGAGAGAGAGAGAGAGAGAGAGAGAGAGAGAGAGAGAGAGAGAGAGAGAGAGAGAGAGAGAGAGAGAGAGAGAGAGAGAGAGAAGAGAGAGAGAGAGAGAGAGAGAGAGAGAGAGAGAGAGAGAGAGAGAGAGAGAGAGAGAGGAGAGAGAGAGAGAGAGAGAGAGAGAGAGAAGAGAGAAGAGAGAGAGAGAGAGAGAGAGAGAGAGAGAGAGAGAGAGAGAGAGAGAGAGGAGAGAGAGAGAGAGAGAGAGAGAGAGAGAGAGAGAGAGAGAGAGAGAGAGAGAGAGAGAGAGAGAGAGAGAGAGAGAGAGAGAGAGAGAGAGAGAGAGAGAGAGAAAGAGAGAGAGAGAGAGAGAGAGAGAAAGAGAAAGAGAAAGAGAGAGAGAGAGAGAAAGGAGAGAGAGAGAGAGAGAGAGAGAGAGAAGAGAGAGAGAGAGAAAGAGAGAGAGGTGTGCTTCGGTCATGTCCATTCGACCAAACCCAAAAGCGTTTTTTATATATATATTGCTTTTCCCGGAACATTTTTTTTCTTCCTGGGAGTTCACTTATTCCCACAAATAAATGCGTTGTGAAATCTGCGTGCAACAGTGCCATTGCAAGCAGACCTCTTTGGATTTCTTCTCGCAAAAAAAAAAAAAAAAAAAAAAAAATGGCGATTGACATGTTGCGAAACGGGGAATTACAGGCGCGGTATTCAAATGTCAAAATCTTGCTGCGCGCTAAAAAAAAATAACGAAAAAGAAAAATCGCGGGCAAATTAAAATCATACGGAACGGGAAGATAAAACAGGAAGATCCAAACAGAAACAAAAACTCAAAATAAAAAATACAGCAAAATAAAAACTAAAACCTAGCAAAAAAAAAAAAAAAAAAAAAAAAAAAAAAAAAAAAAAAAAAAAAAAAAGAGGAAAGAAAAGAAAGAAAAGAAAGAGAGAAGAAAGAAAAAAAAAAAAAACAAAGAGACCAGTAAGGGGGAGAGAAAGAAAACAAATTCACAGGCACAGAGAGAGAGAACGTGAAGCCAGCCGGTTTTCGCAACTGAAATGCCGTCCACGTTACGACAACCTCACTGTGTTAAAGGAAGCATGTATTCACTTAGGTCAATATTAGTTCCGGGAAATGTGTTAGCGGGGAGAGGGGGGGGGAGAGAGGGAGAGTGGGCGGAGAGGAGGGGGGGGAGCGAGGAGGGGGAGGAGAGGGGGGGAGGGGGGGATAGAGAGAGAGAGGGGGGAGGGAGGGAGGAGGAAGAGGAGCGGAGAGTGGAGGGCGAGAGGGGAGAGGGGAGGGAGGAGAGACGAAGGGAGAGAGCGAGAGGGAGGGAGGGTAGAGGGAAGAAGGGGGAGGAGGATAGAGGAGCGAGAGGGGGGGAGAGGAAGAGAAGGAGAAAGGGAGATGGGGGGAGAGGGGCGAGAGGGGAGAAGTGAGAGAGAGGGGGAGAGAGGGAGAGAGGAGAGGGGAAGGGGGGGAGGGAAAAGGAAGAGAGGGGAAGGGGAGAGGGAGAGAGGGGAGAGGAACGAGAGGGGAAGAGGAACTTGAACACGGTCGGCCCCCTCCCTCTCCCGGCTCGCCCTTCCCGCCCCTAACCCCCCTCGACCGTAATCAACCGCCCGTCTCTGGATTTGTAAACTGAACCGAAACCAATTATTACTACTTGCATGACTGTATTTGACTGCACAGCATCATATAGTAGTGTGAGTGTGGTTGTGTGTGTGTGATGTGTGTGAGTGAGTGAGTGAGTGAGTGTGTGTGTGTGTGTGTGTGTGTGTGTGTTGTGTGTTGTGTGTTGTGTGTGTGTGTTGTGTGTGTTGTGTGTGTGTGTGTGTGTGCGTGTGCGTGTGCGTAGTGCTGTGATGAGTGAAGTGAGTGATGAAAAGTGAATAGTGAGATGGATGGTTTGTGAGGTGTTGTAGTGCAAGATTAATATGTTGAAATGAAAACACGTTGTAGTGATGAATGTTCTATGATGAGTAGATGCAGAC